AAAAAAAAAAAAAAAAGATGAGATTCTCCAAAATTTTTCTTTCAAATATAACTGCCGGACAAAGTTAATGAGAGCCTCATGCTCTTTTCTTTATTTCTTTTTCTGCATAATGATATTTAGTTCTTTTCTGAAACCTATCACTACCACCTAACACTTACGACGAGACATAAAATTTGTTGGTCCCAACGATGTAATACCACAAAAGAACTCTTCCATATATTAATAATAGGGAAAGTAAGACGACGGATTTTCCAAATTTCAAAAAAATGATACAATAATGTAATAGCATTCATGATTATCCAACCAGGGAATAAAATGATACAACAACAGATTTCCCATATTCATTAGCATTGGCCAATCAAGGAATAAAAATTACGCATAGGAAACGCAATTTTGGCAGCTTCCCAACGCGTCTGGAATTAGACACTGAATCTGTTCAGGTACAGGTCCAGGCTCACCAAATTAGTCAGATTCTGTAATGGCGTCGTACAAGCGTGAGATAACGGCGGCCGTTGGCTCAATTGCCGGCGGATGGAGGGGGAACGACTGCGGTCGAGCAGATTTGCGGCAGTGAAGCAATTGACGTTGCTCGATTGTTTTGGGAAAGTGACCGATATTTTTTTATATATGGTCATTTTGTAAATTTAATACAAATGAAGGTTGTTTTGGGTTCAGAAACATATATTTTAAGGACAAAATGGACATCAATGTGCAAAGTTCCGGTGGAGACCAATTTTGTCATGACCCCTTCCTCAAGACTATTTAGTCTTGCATTCCCAAGACAACACCATTTTTATCTCGGACCGTGTCCAACCCGCCGGGCCTTAATCTTTGCTACAAACACAGGATTTTGGGTAGATAAGAGGCCTAATCTCATCTAATCAACCCTAAAAAATGTGCTCTTAAAGTATTGTAGACAACTAGACATTCATCAAATGTTCGCATTTGTACTTCATAAATATACGCAGAAATTACTATTCAACTTACAGAAAAGGGATTTAAGCCAATTTTTAGCCAACTTTTTGTTCTGAATATAACCGTAAACATAGTTATAAAATAACATAATTCCAAATTAGCTATCCCTTGCTCCTTCAAGATACCACGTCTTTGTCGGAAATTTGATGGCAGACCTCTAAAGCACTATCTATGCATTTACACTTTGGAATAGAATTCTTAAGGACACTAGCAACCATTAGATTTTCCACAATCCCGACCCTTTTGGCCAACTCGTGAAGCCTTACACCCATGTCCAAATTACCAATAGAAATACACGCGGATAATACGCCGGCAATTATGATCTCATCAGGGAATCCTCATTTGATTCCATCTTTCAATAAGTCTAGACAACTTTTTCATAACTAAAATAGTCTCGCTCTAACAAACCCCGACAACTTTTTCATAACTAAAATAGTCTGCTCTAATCAAAACAAAACATGGTTGGCAGTGCACTAATGATTTAGTCCCGCTAATCAAAACAAAACATAGCACCAATAGTGGCTCTTGAGATGCCAAGTTCATGAAGTTCAAGGTCAACGGACGACTCAACTCCTGCTCTTTCTTTATGGAACATCATGAACAATCAGAAACATCTTCAACATTAATCCAACCATGTTGCAATACATAGGTAAGTGATAAGCAAGATCGACAAGGTGGCATGAATAAAGAGTACTATTAATATTTCTTTCATAAATTAACTCTTAATTAACTCTCACTCTCTTCTCTGTTCATTTATATAACACTAGATTTCTAAAAATTTGATAAATGGTCTCACCGAGAAAGATATTTAAATTTTGCATATCCTTTGCAACATATAAATGCACATTTACAAGTAAAACAAAATAGAACTTCTTAAAAATGTTGAAAGTTATCAAATTTGGATTAGTTCGGCTAAGAAGATCTAAAGCATTTTATCATGCTTGGATAAGATAATTGAATATATAGTTAACTGTTATTTTAAGTGTTTTTTTATCTAATAAACAAAGTGAATTATAAGAGAAGTGACTAAGATAGAGTTAAATATGACTTAATTTATGAAGAAATATTAATAGCACCTTGTCGATCTTGCTTATCACTTACCTATGTATTGCAGCATGGTTGGATCAAGGTTGAAGATGTTCATGATATTCCTGATGTCCTTTTGATGTTCCATAAAGAAAGAGCAAGAAATTGAGTCGCGAGCCGCCAATTGACATTGAACTTATGAGTTTGGCATTGATGAACTTGGCGGCAGCCACTATTGGTGCACTGCAAGCTATGTATGTTTTGATTAGAGCAGGACTAAACCATTGATGCACTGCAACCTATGTTTTGTTTTGATTAGAGCGGACTATTTTAGTTATGAAAAAGTTGTCGAGAATTGATAGAGCAGAGACTATTTCAGATAAAGATGTCGAGACTTGTTGAAAGATGAATCACAGTGGAATTCCCTGATGAGATCGCAAATGTCGGTGTATTATCCGCGTGTACTTTTATTGTAATTTGGACATGGGCGTAAGGCTCGCGAGTTGGCAAAAAATGGTCGGGCTTGTGGAAAATCTAATGTTGCTAGTGTCCTTATATACTTCTATTCCAAAGTGTAAATGAATAGATAATGCATTAAAGGTCTTCCATCAAATACCCAACAAGGACGTGGTACCCTGGACGTCGATTATTCTTGTGTTCCGTATCAGTAACAAAACAAAGAGGTGAAAATGACCAATTAGAAAACAAAACTAAGAACAACTCCAAGAACAAATGAAATAAATGTTGTGCTTCGATACGCAAACCGCTTGTCAATCAATATGCACCTCAAGATATGCTGAATATATCAGAGAGAATTAATCCAGCAAATAGAGATAAAGTAAGTACCTTTTTTTTCCTCATAAAGAGACGGATGAAGGCGAGACACAGTTTTCGGTACGTTTAATAGGGCTTCTACTCCAAACATGCCACCAAAAGTTATATTCCAGTTGCTCATAGTGTTAGCCATTAGAAACAATGGATATCCTTGGTGCACTGCAACAGAGAAGTGTTATGCCCTAACCAGCTAAGAGACTGTATTAAGCATGAAAGGGAACTGCAAATATTAAATAAGGAAGTATACAACATAATCAGTCTCCCATGTTTAGATTGCAGTTTGAAATATAAATTGACAAATGTAACCACCCAAAGTCCATTCGAGTTCTTGTTGTAAAAATGCAATATAACCGTTCGCAATCAAATGTTAAAAGTCGCCATATCTACTTTAACCTATATTTGAGCTAAGAAATTTACAATTTGAACAATGATTATTAACTGCATCCAAGCTAGAAAAATACCTCATTTCAAATTGAAAACTATTCTACAAAAATTTGGATTCCCACTTTAAAGTGCACTGTCCAAAATGTTTTCAGATTTTAACGAATAAAGCATCATCGTCAAAAAACCCTTTAGAAACCAAAGTAACAACAATCAAGCGCAGCTTTCACAAAGTCACCAGTAGTCCTTGCAAGAGCACAACCCATCCTTGAAATGATGGAACCTATTTGCATCTCTCAAAATTATTTCACGCCCGGTGAGTTTCGCAATTAATTTAATAGCCGCATGGCAATCCCCACAAACCCTTAGGTTCTTCATTACACGAATAGGCACCCCTTCAGGAAGCTTCAGAAGTCCATACACTACAGCCAACTTCTCACTGTGCTGCCTTAGGCTTTGTGCCTTCTCTTCCTCCTCCACATCATGTAGAGCAAAGGCGCCATCAGGATTATAACCAGCTTCTCTTAACATCCCACTTAGCTTCTCCCACATTCTAACAATCTCTGCATGGTCACGATGCGTTTGCATCTCTCCACCAGTGAACATATGTACTTCTTTTTCGATCTCAATCCAGCTACAGCCGGGTGGCTTCTTCACCTTCCTGGACCTCATGTTTTTCCTCAGTCGGGCAACATTCTCCCATTTACCTCTTGAGGCAGAAATATTCGATAGCAAGACATAAGGGCCGGCATTTTTAGGCTCGAGTTGAAAAAGTTTCTCAGCAGCAATTTCTGCCAGGTCAGAATTCATGTGGTTCCTACACGCACCCATGAGAGAACCCCAAACAATGGCATCCGCCTCTAGGGGCATATTGTTGATCAAACGCATGGCCTCATCCAACTGGCCCGCACGCCCAAGAAGATCAACCATGCAAGCATAATGTTCAGTGATTGGTTCAATCATGTATTTTGACTTCATGGACTCAAATATTTCCTTACCTTCTTCAACCTTTCCACTGTAACTGCAGGCTGAGAGGACTCCGATGAACGTAACTTCATCTGGTTGAAGTCCCGATGAGGAAATATCTCTAAACACTTGTAAAGCTTCGTCTCCAAGACCATGCTGAGCATAGCCAGAGACGATTGAGTTCCACATCACTATATCCTTGCACGAGCATATATCGAAAACTGTCCTGGCCTTGAAAACTTCACCACATTTCATGTACATGGTGATCATAACGGATGACAAGTACACGTCGTCATCAAACTCACACCTCATCAATTTAGCGTGAACCTGCCTGCCGTAATCCAGAGAGGCAAGACTTGCACAAACTGAAAGAATGCTGATCAAACAGGGGAAATGGGGTCTAACTCCCTCTCTCTGCATGATACGAAACAAATTAAGGGCCTCCAGTTCGTACCCTTTCCGCTCATAAGTTTTTAACATGGCACCCCATGTCCCGTCGTCTCTATCCTTCATCAAGTTGAAAATTTCCCTCGCTTTTGAGACATCTCCATTCTCACCCAACGCAACAATCATTGCATTGCAAGCAACAACCGGTTTAGTTGGCATAGCCTGGAAAAGTTCCCACGCGTCCTCAATCCTCCGACACTGAACATAACCCGTAAGCATTGCCGTCCAAGTAACCTCATTTCTTTCAGGCATGACCTGAAAGAGTTTCCTTGCAAGATCAACCTTTCCATTCTGTGCATAACCTGAGATCATGGTTGTCCAGGAAACCACATTCTTATTCTGCATGCTATCAAAAATCTCACGTGCCTCCTCCAACAGGCCCTTGGAGCATAGTCCACCAATCAAGCTAGTCCTTGCAACGACATCCTTCACAGGCATCTGGTCGTAAAGTTTCCTTGCGTCTTCAATCCTGCCTTCATGTAGCAGCCCGCCCAACATGATGGTCCAAGATATGACATTCTTCTCGGGCATAATCCAAAACAGAGTCTCGGCCTCCAGAATCATTCCCTCCTCCACGTAGCCTCGGACCATGGCAGTCCAGGATATGACATTCCTCTCGGGCATCGTGTCAAACACTTCTCGAGCTTTCTGAATCATCCCATTCTTTATGTACCCGGAAATTAATCCATTCCAGGAAACAATATTTCTCTCGGGCATTGCATTGAATAGGATCTGGGCTTCGTTGGGCTTACTGCTCTGCAAGTACCCAGAAATTATAGAGTTCCATGATGCGACATCTTTGTATGGGGTCCGGTCAAACAATTCTCTTGCGGACTTGATGTCTCCAAGGCGGACATGATAGGCAATTTGAGACGAAAGTGGCACTTCAGTACTACAATAGTATCCTCGATGCTGAATGGGATAACACTGCAGTCACATATTTACGATTAAATTTGATGAGAGAATGTTTCTTAATTAACCATAAAAAACTAAGAATGGATATAGGCTGCTGCCCAAAAAAAAAAAAAA